GGTCTTTATTTTTCAAAGCATGATCATCTTTGTGTGGAAGCCTATACAGATGCTGACAGGGCTGGATCAGTAACTGATAGGAAATTGACTTCAGGGTATTGCACCTTTAGTGGAGGCAACCTAGTTACTTGGAGGAGTAAGAAACAGAATGTGATTGCCAAGTCAAGTGCAGAAACTAAGTTTAGAACTATGGCACAAGGGGTGTGTGAGCTCTTATAGATCAAGTTATTATTAAGTGATCTAGGTATTGATCAGATAGACTCCATGCGGTTATACTGTGATAATAAAGCCACCATCAACATCGCTCACAATCCGGTTCAACATGACAAAACAAAGCATGTTGAGATTGATTGCCACTTCATTAAGGGGAAACTCACTAATGGCACAATCCATTTGTGCAGACTAGTGAACAACTCGCTGACATCCTCACCAAGAGAGTTTGGAGTAAACCTTTGCATGACATTCTAGTCAAGCTGGGCATGAGCGATATCTTCGTATCAGCTTGATGGGGAGTGTTAGAATATTATTATTATTATTAGTAGTAGTAGGGTTATTATTCAGTTGTAATTATTCAATGCCTTAAAGCTCCCTTGTAATTATTAATCTTCATTAATATAAAAAGGAGATGATATCAAAATCATTCCTTAATCTTGCTATTCTCCAAAACTATCAGCTGTCACCAACAAAGGTGTAGTAGCCAGAAGTAGACTAATGATCGGTTCGACTACCAACCCAATCGACATCACTAAAGCCAGTGATAGACAAAGAAGTAAGGGCAATACAGAAGACCACGACCAAGAGCACTCTTGAGGTAAGGTAACACAAAATACGATACACAACATCAAAGTGAGGTTGGTGAGGAGCATGCATAAATTAACTGACTACACCCACAACATAAGTGATATATGGACGAGTGATAGTGAGATAAATCAATTTCCCAACCAACCGATGATACTGGCCAAATATTAACTCGCCATGCTCACCATCAAGCTTGACAGACGAGTCTATAGGAGAATCAATGGGTTGAGCACCTAAGAGGCCAATCTCAGGAAAAAGATCAAGCACATATTTCCATTGAGAAAAGAATACATCGCAAGAAGAATGAGCAACTTCAATCCCAAGAAAATACTGAAGGTGCCCTAAGTCCTTAGTATGAAACTGCTGGCTTAAATAGTGTTTCAAATCAGCAATCCAAATAGAATCACTGCCGGAAATAATGATGTCATCCACATAAACAATCAAGACTACAACCCTAGCAGAGGACTGGCAAACAAAAACAGAATGATCAGAGGTAGATCTCTGAAAACCATAGGCAAGCACAACATGACTAAAACGGTCAAACCAAGCACAAAGAGATTGTTTCAATCCATATAAAGCCTTTAGCAAACGACAAACAAGGTGCTCAAAACCAAGGACAACATAACCAGGAGGTTGGTCCATATATACCTTCTCTTGCAAATCACCATGAAGGCATTTTTTATGTCAAGCTGATATAAGGGCCAAGAACAACTAACCTCAATAGAGAGAAGTATCCGAACTAAATTAAGACGAGCCATGAGGGAAAAAGTCTCAAGATAATCAATGCCATAAGTTTGGGTGTAGCCTTTCGCAACCAAACGCGCCTTAAGGCATTCAACAGAGCCATCAGGGAGATGCTTAACAGTGTAAATCCAACGACACCCAACAGTAGGCTTCCCAAAGGGAAGAGTAGTAAGCTCCCATGTCTAATTCTGGTGAAGAGCATTCATCTCCTCATCTATAACATGTTTCTACCCAAAGCTAGACAAGGCCAATCGATAAGAAGTGGGAATAGACAGAGAAGACAAACTACAACAAATGAAAGGAAAACAAGAGAAATACAAGCATATGAAACAAACTCGGAAATAAGATACTGAGTGCAAAAGCAATAGGCAAATCAGCAGAGGCTTGAGAAGGGGGAACAGGAACCTCAGATAGAGAAGATATACCAGTTAGGCCATAAGCAACAATAGGTCAAATAAATAATACCCCGATCAACACAAAAGGAATTAACACTAGACTGAATACACTAGGTATTATCAGAGCGAAACACTTTAAAACATAAAAACAACCAAGTCAGAGCAATGTCTCATTAAAAACATAAATAATATGAGGTAACTCAGAGCAATGTCTCATTAAAAACAACGAAGTCATTTGGGAGATCCACAAAAACAACAAAATATAAAAAATCATGAAGGGTGGAAGTAGGAGAAGGACCCCATATGCCCGTGTGGACTACATCAAAGGACTCAGATTCACGACTGACACTATGACTAGAAAAAGAACTACAGTGATGCTTTCCAAGCTGACAAGCCTCACATTCTAGGGTAGACACATGACTCAAACTAGGAACAATAAGCTTTAACTTGGCCAAGGACGGATGACCCAAACGAAAATGCCATTTCAGAGGAGAAACGGTGGCACTTAGAACAGGAGACAGGGGGAGACGAACGCTATCAGTATCTAGATACTACAGGTCGTGATGCTCATGCCCCGAACCAACCATCTTCTTGGTCTTGAGGTCCTACAACACACAAGAAGTAAGAGAAAAGGTTATGGAAAAATTAAGAGTTTTAGTCAACTAACTAACGAACAACAAATTAAATGGAAAATGAGGAACATAAACACTAGTGGGTAAAGATAAAGAGAGGGTGCGATGAAGGGTACCTATCCCACTACCAGGCCAAGAGAACCCATCAGCAAGAACAATATTATGGGTAACAGGATGTAAAGCATGAAAAAGTGATGCATTACCAAAAATGTGGGCACTAGCGCTAGAATCTAGGAGCCAAGGTTGGTTAGACTGGACCATGCATGCAATATTACCTAAACCCACCAAGGTGGCAGTAGAAGATGAGGGAAGAGCAAACCGAAGAAGGGAAGTAAGCTCATTAATCCGAGTAGTGAGTGCCTCATGAGAATCAGATGAAGAAGCTACGAGCCAGAAGAAGTCGGGGACGAGGCAGAAACATCAATAACTTGATGCATATGATCGGGCTTGCCATACTTTTGCCAGCACCAAGGCTCAGTATCACCAATGGAACCACTGTAGTCACACCTCCGATCACCACGAGAAGCTGAACCTCGACCACCACGTGAACCACGATATGAACCACCACCACGGGAACTATTCCCACTAGAACTAGTCAGGGAGACACGAGAGCCAAAGTTTAGACGAGACCTACTAGGAGTGGTACCCTGACCAAAAACCAAAACGGAGGAAGCACCAATCGAAGGAGTAGAGCCAAAAATACTAGAATTGTGTCCCAAAGAAGATCGTAATAAGCAAGAATAGGCATTGGTTGCTGAAGGTAAAGTCTCGCTGGCCAAAATTTGATCCTTGAAGCCACGCAAATCAAAATCTAAACCAGTGAGCAAAGAAGCAATCATAAACTCCTCCCAATGCTGCTTCTGTTGGGCCAAATCAGCGCTGAAAGGTCGATGCTGTAACAACTGATCCCACAGAAGCTTAAGGCTATTGTAATACTCAAAGAGTGGTCGACCAGATTTCTTAGTAGCAAAATCTGCTCATACAAATCATACACGCGAGACACATCACTCTGATGCGAAAAAGAATCAGCAAGATTCCCAAATTTGCTTAGACGTCTCACAAAACTCAACTGTGGTAGCAACAATAGGTTCCAGGCTATGCCAAAGCCAACCCATAACACAAGAATCCTCGTTGCACCAATCATAGGTGGTATCCATATCAGATGGAGGAAGTTTAGTAAGGAAATGCAATTTTTTCTTGCCTCGCAAAAAAAAACCTTAACAGCATGAGCCCAAGCAAGGTAGTTTAAACCATTCAATTTTTTGGTAGCAATAGACTTAGGCAAGTCATCATCTTTGACCAAAGGAGAGTGAGATACCTCAGCCTTCACTACTCGAGATGATTCTTCAGCCAACAGACCCAAATAGTAAAGAAATACCAAAACTATAGAACAAAACCACCTAAAGAACTACCCAACACCAGCAAGCAACAATCCGAATTACCTAATTAAAAGAGTTATAAAGCTGTTCCAGCCACAGACAAGCGATCAGAAGAACAATAGTGGGCTGAAATAGGCAAAGAAGTGCCAAAAAAAGAATGAAATCTCAACCCAAGTGCACCAAAACATCAAACAAACACCAAAAAAGGCCCTAATAGGGTCACTCGGCTCCCATAGACGAGGTTTCAACAACCAAAAATATGCAACAGGTGCTGGAATCATATACCACAAGATAGGCCACAATATTGTTGAAAAACATTCAAAAATAAGAAACTTACGTCAGATATCTTCAATTAATTGTGTAAAAATGACCATAAATACCAGAATTAAATTTCGATTCAGACAAGGGTTTTCCCAAATCAAGACGTCCGTACAGACCTGTCGTTATGCTGACCTCATCGTACGGATGATGATGTCAACACACAATTGTTATCTTGCAAAGATTTCCAGATTCTGTGGAGTAGAACTTTGCTCTGATACCAAGGTAGAGATTAAAGTATTGAATTTAAGGTTAAGCTGAGAGAGAGAAGAGAGGAGGAGGCAGAGGAGGAATACGTAAGTAATAGGATCTGGTTAATTGATTCAAACCCTTCACCTCAACAGTTAATTTATATTAAACTCAAGTCTTACATGATGATAATAATACCCCTTATTATATAAATAAATGACATACATGACCCCAACTATTCTAACAATTTTTTATATTAATTTATTGAATTTGTATAAAACAAATACATGGCATGATACATTTTGGGGGTAATACTGTAAAAGATTTGAAAGTCAATGGGCAGCATCCATCATACTAGAACTGGGCATATGATACTCCCACCGTACCAAATTTGGCACGATATATATTATCATACTAAATTTGGCACAATGAATAGCACACTGGATGTGATTTTTGTGCTATCGTTCCAAATTCCGTCAATAGCATGATATAAAGCACGCTGTTGGAACTGCTCAAAGCATTCTAAAAATCAGTAGTGACATTACCTTTGGTGCGGACAGCTTATCCATATTTAGAAAATGTAAAATAAACTGGGTGGTTGATCCGTTCACAATAAGCGTTAGAAATACGATTCCACCAGTGAAAAAAACAAACTGCAAAAGAAAAACACAAAAAATGTTGATAAGAAAGAAACACATTGACAATTTGACAAGTCAAAAGATCCCAATCCATTTTGCCATGCCAATTAAATATACATGTCGTTGTTAGTATTATTATTTTCCTTGAATGATAAAATTCAACCCCTTGGCATTACCCCCGAAAAACATTCAAACAAGATGCATTTCGCAATAACGTACCAGAGTTCCTGTTTCAGAATCGATGTATGAGTTTCCACTAGATTGCTGGAAAAAAAGAAAAACTAGACAATTTAGAACAAAAATCAGAATCAGGCACCAAAAATTGCATCACTTAATTAGAAAATAAGATCTCGTATTAGAACAAGGATTGCATGTCAAAGCATGAATTTCCTATTGCTTGGTATAAATATGTACACATGCAGCACAATTGATTTTTGAACTGGAATTTTACATATTCTCTAATGCCATTGTTAATTGAAAAGTTCACGAATTGAGTATGTTTCTGTAAGATTTTTTGACAGTTCTGTTACCGTCTCTTGAAAGAGGGACTTGAGCAGTGAAGATGAACACAACATCCATATAAAATTCAAATTAAATGAAAGAATACAAAAAGAAACCAGCCGTAGATGGTTTCCACAGTTCCACCTATGTTACATGAACTTGGGTATGGGTGCCAGGTACAGGTGTGTAGGGGGTCGAACCGATCAAACCTCTAATTGAAAATGTGGACTTGGCAAAAAAAAAAATCATATTTATTTCTATTTTTAATTTATTTTGTGGGATAAAATGGTGTTTTATGTGTCCTAATCAATGTCAAACAACGTTATTAAAGGCGATAGGCGCATTGAGGCGCCAAGGTTTCCTAGGGCCTAGGAGCAAAGTGCAAGGCGAGGCATAGGCTTCATTGAAACGAGGCTCATGTTGACAACAATATTGCATGATATGATCCATAAAGAGGTCGAGGTGTATGTGGACGAGGCGTAGGCTTCATTGAAACGAGGCTCATGTTGACAATAAAAAGTAGATGATTTAATATAAGCAAAGAATTCATGGTTCAACACAAGAAAATGAAATATTAAATATTTTAGAACATAAAAACCAACAAACAACAATATTTTATTATAGACAAATAATTTTTGGTTCACATAACACAAACATCTAACTCGTAAACCTTTGAAAATAGCAACAAAATCGAAGTGTCAAACAAGATAAGCATAGAGAAGAGAAGGAGATTGAGGAGATGAAGAAGAATAATGACAACTACTAGTCTGGTCGAAGAAAAACTCTATCCAACCAACAACTTTGTATAATTAGGCTCAAAAAGTGTTGAATTGCAATGTATGTTTAGGGGTTCAATCCCTCGTAGCCGCATGTAAACAAAAAAACAATGAGGTTAAGTGAAATAAAGAGTTATAATTGTAATAAACAAACATTTTAAAAGAAGCACACGAATCGTGCACCTTGAGCTTAAGCCTAAAGCGCACTCTTCATGCGCCTTTATGGGCCTTTTTTATGTTGCCTGGCTTGAGATGTTCCAAAGCGCACTAACTGCGCCTTGACGAGCCTTGGGCCTAGGCGCACCTTTAATAGCATTGGTGTCAAAAAGTACTTGACTCATTTTATAGAAATTACACAACAAAAATACATAAAACACAATGATAATGTAAAATACAATTATATAACAAATTTGAATTGATAGATATGCTTGCTAAGCACATATCTTAGGGGTATTGAACACACATCCCAGAACCCTATCCAGGTGTCAAGTGTTTGGCAAAGGTACTTGAATTTTTTTTTTTTTAAAAGAGTCCATGAAACATGGCATAGGTTTCCACTAACTAAAGCCAATAAGGTAAATGCTCAATTAAATAACCTTTGGAATAACATAGAAACAAAATAATATGAAAGGTTAATCAAAACAAGAATGCTAGCTTTGACGATCTTGAATAACTTTTTAAAATAGGTTCCATAGCATTTGATATGATATATTATCAATCTAATATAAATCCAATTTGTTTTAAATGAGCTTGAAGTGGCCAACACATCTCATATCAAAGCTCAGATCCTGTCATGCCTCGTCAAGTATCATAACACTGTTCATGACTTAAAACAATCTGCCTTTCACATGCATTAAAAGCTTTATCATGTGATATGAGAAATAAAAACTTATTAAAAGGGCAAAGAAGACGTACAAGAGGAAGAATTTAGGGAGCAAAGCAGCAAGTGAAAGCAAAGAAAAAACAACTACCAAAGGAGTACAAAGCCAACCGCCCCAAAAATATATATATACATATAAACAAAAACAAAATCAAAAATAAATAGAAAAAGAAACATACGCTCTACTTTGGAGGTGCATTAGACAGACTAAGAGCCCTAATTAACCAAAATGAACCCCACACATCTGCTCTAGATTTGCAAAATTGTGGATTAAGAGTGCCAATTTGTGGTGAAATCAAGAACTCTCCAATGAATCCGCAAACACATCTATCATGTAGTTTGTCTTATCACATTTTATCCTTCTGAAAATTAATTAATAGCTATACTATTAGCTACAAACTAATGTTAAGAATTACACAAATATATAATCCGAATAATATACAGCCCCAAAAAAACTACGCACAGACAATGTGGGCAGCACTCCATAAACACCCAAGACTCCTCACATCAAAGGCATGCGAGACTGGATTTCTATTTTCTGTTCTTTTATGGTATCAAAGCAGGCAAAATATCATTTTCTTTCTATTATTTGTTCTGAGAGAGAGAGAGAGAGAGGGCAGAACTTGCCTTAACTGACAATGAAAGTGCCAATGCCACAGCACCTCGCAAACCCGACCATACAAGAATAATTGCTTCCTTCCAGTCCAGACCATACCCAAAGAACCGCAGAGAGGGATACAATACCCCAACAACAATCATCCGAGACACTTGGACAAAAACATAGAGGAGAATGAGGTAGCCCCATGAATTTCCTGAGTCAAAGCCAATACGAATAGAAGAATTTAAATGAATTATGAATCACACAATAAACCAAAAGACAACAGAGAATATCAAACATGGAACAAATGACTTCAATAAAAGATCTGGATCAAGAACGGGGAAGAAGATACAGATAGCTAACTGTGAACTTTTCTCAGTAAAATATGTCTTCAAGATAGTCAGATCACGCATAACTTTTTACTCACTAAAATATGTCTTCAAGATAGTTAGATCATGCATCAAGAAAAACATCACTCATCACTTTACATCATAAAGTGGACGACAGCTTGATACATATCACAGAAAAGAAACCAATGATTTGTAACAGCAAAAGGTGTGTCCCATATTTTACACTCCCATAATTTTTACACTTCAAAATTATATGCATATCTTGACTATATTCTCTACTGTTGAGAAAGCATCGTGTAATTTTACCTATTTATCTATTTGTCTGTTTTTGTTTTGTGTCGCATGTACTTCTAAATACAATGGGTATCTAACAAAATGATTATAAGCTTCTAGGATCTAACCAAAATTTAGGACGAAAACATTAATTCAAAACGAAATTTACATTTAAAATGTTGATATCTTTGTTAAAAACTGCCAGAAGGTTCCACAAACATGTTGCAAGTAGTATCGATTTTATTTTGAAGTTGATCTGCAGCTAAGTATATGTAAAGACCCGGAAAAAATGAAAAATAGATCTTTAATTAATCAAATTAAGCACTTTCCTAATTACATGTTTATTTCAATTTTGTATGTATATGATAATATGACATGTGGATGTTGTAAACTATTCAATGTGCTATGATGCATAATGCTAAGACCCAATTGCAAAATGCTAACACCTAAATGCATCACCACCTCACTTTATTAATGGCAAACAAACAACACGTACTCGTCCATGTTTTGTCAATTCAGAGCTATATATCTGTTTTAGCTTACAAAAGATTCTCTTAATTGCAACATGCTATTTTTTATAACATCTCATTATACTTTCCATTATTCAAAAGAACGACCCTTTGAAGCAAATGAGAAGCCATGCCCCGACTCCGTTTTTTGTGTTCTTTTCATAGTTGGAAATGGACTGTCTACAGCCACGTAACATTATTTGGTATTACTCATCTGTATTTTTTATGAAAATAGCATTTTCAAATTAGTGACAACCAGTCATAAGAATATTGATAGTGTGCAAGGGTTACTACTTGGGATTTTATAGGTTGGGGATGACAATGATTGATGTATCTCAAGCATGTTAAAACTGACAGGTTTGGGAGGGTCAAAACGGGTTGTAAAACAATCCAACTAAACCCACCCATATAACAAATGGGTTTAAATGGGTTGGGTTAAGTTGGGTACGGGTTGGACTAATCAATCCAACCCCATTTATTTTATTGAACTCTTCTTCTAATGGCAGTGGCAGTGGTGGTGGTGGTGGTGGTGGTGGTGGTGGTGGTAGTGAGGTGTTGGTGGAGGAGGATGCAGGGTGGTGGTGGTGACGGTGTTGGTGGTGGGTGGTAGTGGTAGTAGTGGTGGTGGTGGTGGCGGGGATGAGAATGAAGATGGTGATGAAGAGAGGTGATTGTGATTGGGTGTGTAGAGGTGACTCAAGCTGGGCATTGACATTTGCCTCAATTTCCATACTTGTCTTGCTGGATTTACATCATTTTCGGTTTTGTTGCCCTCTCCCCCTCCCTCCCTCCCTCTAAGTTGTTTTTCTCGCTTGCTTGTTTCAAACTCAAATTATCTACTGTTTCTACTAAACTGCACTGCAAAGCACAAACAACCACTTGCCAAAATGTGTAGAAATGAAGCAGTCACAGAATACCTAGAGATCAACAAGCTGCACTACCTCTCTCTACATATATATTTGTACATATTGTTAGAAGATTAGAATGAGGTGGTGGCGGAGTGGCCGTGGTGGTGGTGGTGGTGGTGGAAGAGTTAGGGTGGTGGCAGGGGTGGAGGAGGTGGACCATTTAAACTAGTACTCATGTCCACCTATTTAAACCCAAATTTAATTGGGTGTGCAAGATGCAACCCATTTAAACCTGTTTATAGATTTGGTGAATTTAGACAGGTTTCAATTGGGTAATATTTGGTGGGTTTATGGGTTTCAGGATGAGTTTTCCACCTCTGCTCCAACCTAAGTTCTAAATCCTTGAGAAGTTGGAGAATTAAAGGATTACTTTTAGTTTGCTTGAGACAAATCAACAACGCGATCAATGAGTATAATCCGTAATACCGTTAAGGTGGTTAATAAGAACAAACTGTAAGTTGATGCGCCCTCTCTCTAATTGTGAAACTCCGTTTGATTCTTGCAAACGAAAATCCTATACAAACCACAGTGAGGAATTAGGTTATCTTCTTTTCCTCCTTTATTACATTCCCTACAGAAACTTCAGCCACAAGCAGCCCTTCAATACCCAATTCATGTTGTCAGTAAAAATTCTACATTGAACCAATTAAGTAGGTTGAGCATATGGATTTGCAAACAGTCCCTCCAACTGCAGGATGTGATTCCAAGGCCATTTGAAAATAAATATCATAAATGAGTCAAGACCAGGCTCCCCAGTGAGATGTTTAAGCAATCCAGTCCGAATTGACCAAGCTAAATGTATCCTCTATGCAGATCCATTCTTTCAGCCTTATTCTAGCACTAGTAAGTGTGATGGGTTGTAAATAAGCTCGCAGTTGTTGAATTGATTTCACCATTCTGGCAATAAACATTGCATTTCATTTTCGTAAAAATTTCCATCGTAGCTTTTTTTCTTCAAATAAAGACCATAAATAGCTTCAAATCTCTACTAATTAAATTGTTATATACCATTCACACACCTAGCCATTCACACGCATGAAACGCATGCACACAAATAAACAAGTGAAGAAAAAACATAGACGGAAAATAGAAAACAAAGAAATATCATAGACAAGCAAATGTATATGTGAGTATAAGGGGCAAGTGAGAAATTTAAGGACTACCATGGCCTTCGAAAATATTCTCAATTTGGAATGGATTGTTTAGCAAATGTATATGCGAGTATAAGGAGCAAGTTTGGAATTTAAAGACTACCGTGGCCTTCGAAAATATGGTCCGTTCTGATCACACCTTCGGCTATAAAAACTCCGCTGCGAAAGCAAGAGAGCAAACAAAATTGTTTAATGTGAAGCAACATGCTTTAAAAAACACAATTAGAAAGGCATTTCTTTTTTTCGGATAAATAAGTAATTTTATAACCAAAAAAGGAAGATCTACAATGAAGTTCAGCACACATCTCTGTAGGGAGCACAAAAATAAACAGAACTAAACTACTCCCACCAAAGGACACAAAACTAAGCCTACAAGAAGCATCAAACAACTATCACAACAATGGTGTGAAGTTTCTCTTTGAGTTTTCTTCTAATTTCCTCCTTAGAAGTCTCCTTATTACTAAGGTCCCATGGAGATGGACTCCCCCTCTGATTTAGAATATTCATCAACTCTTGACTTGATTCGCCATTCCCAAACTCTCTCATTCACAAAATTTAAGAACTTCAAAGGCATTAGATATAGAGGGGCAGGAAGACCGTGTCTCTCTCTTCGTTTATCTCTATTGTTGAAGCTTGCACACCATCTCTCCCCTTTTTCTTCATCACCACTTCCCAATTAGTCGCAATTTGTGTTTTAGTCTCCTTGACTGCCCATGGGAGGATTCAATGTCTTTGGCTTCTGCAGGCACATATTAGTGGTGTATGACCAAATGTCTTACAAACATCACACCTTTGAGGCTTCCATGGAATCTCAACTCTAATCTCATACGGGGTCACCATAACCAAGATTTACTTTGAAAGACTCGAGAATCTCTTTATTTGCTAGCACTTCAATACATATTCTCGCAAACGTAAGTCTGCTTCTGTTGAAAATAGGCTCATCCAAATAAAGAGGAGTTCCAATGATACTAGCAATGTAACGCAAACCCTCTTCAGTCCAAGGCTCCAAAGGAACATTATACAACTTCACCCATAACGGCACGCTCCAAAATCAACATTTTGATAGTTTTAGCCCAGGTTGCCATTTTTTAACAACAATCAATCTAGCCCCCAACATAATGTTATTTTTAGAGAATACAATATTAGGGAATGATTAGGATATCATCCCCTATTTATATTAATGAAGATTAATAATGTTAGAATTTACCATCACCTACCACCACTACCACCTCACCTACTCCACTAAACCTAACCCACTACACCACTACCACCATCCACTACACCTACATCTATATAAGGAACCATTTGTAATAGACAGAATACAACAACACATATCAATCAATAATACAGTATTTTTAATATGTAATTACAAGGAAGCCCTAAGACATAAAATAATAACCCAAATCATAATATATTATTCTAATACTCCCCCTCAAGCTGATGCGAAGATATTTTTCATACCCAACTTGCCTAAGATGTCATTAAATGGCTTACTCTCAATTCCCTTGGTGAGGATGTCAACACCAACATGTGTCTGACACTCATCCAAGTGTATCCTATATTTTTAAAGAGCATTTAGACTCAAACACTCTTTGGACACTTAAGAGGACACGCATTTCCGTTGCTTAAACCTATGAAACACGAATACTTCTAAAGGGCAATGTATCCGATACTCCTTGGATACTCGCACATACACATTAGATGCTTCTTAATTAATTTTTCATTAATTTTGAAGCATCGAATACTTAATTTTGAAGTATCGGATACTCCAAGTCACATATTACCTTCACAAAATTAGAATTGTAGCATTTCTTGCGTATCATTATAATATAAAATAATTGCAATGCGACGATAAATACAAGAATATTTTTTCACTACTTCGCTTAGTTCTTTGATAAGAAGAACATAGTGAATTAAAGTAATATAATTTGCCAAATTGACTTAATTCTTATTGTATCATTTACGTCTCTTATAACTACATAGAAAATAAGAATCATAAAATAAAATAAAATTTATATCATTGTTCTATTATTGTAATATAAACATATTAGACTTAATATTGAAATGAAATATTTGTAAAACCTATTAAAAATTGAAAGAAGTAAACTAGCTACCAACTTAAATTAATACTTAATTCTTGAAAATTAGTATTTTGCATTATAAAATTACAATATAGTTTCTCAACATTCTTAAGTTCATGTGTAACTGACTACTAATCACTTTAGAATTTACCATCACCTACCACCACTACCACCTCACCTACTCCACTAAACCTAACCCACTACACCACTACCACCTCACCTACTCCACTAAACCTAACCCACTACACCACTACCACCATCCACTACACCTACATCTATATAAGGAACCATTTGTAATCAACAGAATATTAATCAATATTATATCAATCAATACATTTATTCTCTCTGTATTTTTCTCTTTATACATTGATTATTTTACACTTACTTACCACTTTTCAAAAATACTTTTCAAAAAATTCTACTTTTTTATTTTTCGTATTTTTTTTGTTTTTACTGAATTTTTTTAATATTTTGAGCAATTTTTTTAATTTTTAGACATACCTAACATAAATATACCTAAAAAAAAAAAAAAAAAAAAAAAAATTGAAAAAAACCTTTTAAAAATTCACAAAATACCAACAATACAAAAAAAAAATGAAAATTCAGTACATTTTTTGTATTTTATGTATTTATTAATTTTTATAAATATTTTTTCACAAATTTTTTACTTTTTAGATACATCTAAGTAAGGTGCATCTAAAAAGATAAAAAAATTGTTTAAAATTTTAAAAATATTCACTAAACACAAAAAAACACAAATCAAAAAACTCAGTTTTCAAAAAACTTAATTCAAAAAACACAAACCAAACACACTGAATAATTTTTTTTAAATATTATTTTTACAAATGTATCCTAGCCATACCCATCTCCTATTTTTTTTTTTTTTTAATTTAGATTTTGTCGTATCTGTATGTGTATCTGTATCTTGCATACATATCCATGCTTCCTAGGCTTAAACACGTCCATTGATTAGACGCACACAAAATTAATTATAAATTTGAACAAAATAACTTAGAATATGATAATAAAAGTAAAATGGTGTCAATTTATTAAAATTAGTGTTAGATTGCATTTATTTATATGACATATAATAAACATATAAAATCATATATTTTGTGTGTGTCCCCACGTGTTATGTCTTGCATTTTTTTTAAAATTGCCATGCTAGTTTGTCTGTATCATATTCGTGTCGTGTCGTGTCATGTGTTCGTACTTCTTAGGTTGTCTATAACATTACATCAAGAGGTAATGTTATCCCTAAACCCTAAACATCAAGAGGCATCATGAAGGGATGCAAAACATGTGTTATAATTTTGCCTTTAATAGTTATTATTTAGGTTATTTTAGTATTTTATTTGTTAATATAGTTTAAGCAAGAGTTTTATTTTGATTAGGAATTTAATTAATATTCGTATTCCTATTCTATTCATGGTTGTCAAATCCATTCCATAATGTCCGGTACGGCTCAGAATATCTCATTTCAACCAAAAAACGGTACCATTATATTTGAGTTTCGTCTTGCTTAATATTTCAGATTATTCCGATGTTTACAAGTTGTTTCTTCTTACAACAGCCATTCCGTAATGTTCTGCAATGTACCAATACACTTGAAATATTTCGGATTGTTCCGATGTTTACAAGTTGTTTCGTCTTACTACTACCACCATTCCGTAATGTTCTCCAATGTACCAATACACGATTCAAGTTCACTTCAATGCCTTCTTTGATGGTGTGAAAAGCAAATGTCATATCAAATCAATCTGATATTTAGGAGTGTGAAATAGTCATTCTCTCTCAAATATATTTGTTAATGTATTTATTGTTTTGAATAAAAATTTTCTAAAAAATATTGATACGTTTAAGTCTTGCATGTTATGCTATATGAATTAATTAATGTATAATTATTTTAAGTAATTAATATTTAGAAAAAAAATTTCCTTAAAGATTTATGAATTTAGAAAATTATATAAATATATAATATTTATAATGATAAATCCGAAACAGTAAGCCAAAATATACCGGCAATACACACCGTACCAATAATAAAATGGGTATGATGACCAGTACGGGATTAATAACTTTGATTCTATTAGGATTTAGTTCCCTAATTGAGTTTTATTAAGAGTCTAGGTTATGATTTAGTTTCCTATTTTGATTAGGTTTCTAGCCTATAAATATTGGGTTTTGCATTGTAATCTTTAGCTTTGAATTAATGAATTGAGAGTTATTTAGGTTCTCGCAGTGACCCTTTTCTCTATTCTTTGTCCTCTCCTCTCTCCTCTCTCCTCTTTATGTAGATATACTTTGAGAGAGAAGAGGAGGAGAGTTTGACATATGTTTGACTGAAGCGCACATAATTGCTCTCTTCCACTTTGTCATCCTAAAAATAAGTAATTAACAAAAAAGGTTACACCAAAAATAATTATATGAACTGCAGCGCTAAATTGAAGCACATACCTTAAGATGAAAATCAGAGTATTAGCAATATAAGAAACCATGTCCCTGCAAAACAAAATTAAAAAATACAAATAATAAAAACTTTATGAGTTCATTTTGGATAGAATGTGTCTTAATTACATGTTGTAGGAAATTTTGCCATTAATTACATGTTGTAGGAAATTTTGCCATTATAACCACATCAGTTTTTTTTTTTTTTTTTTCCCTTCCCCTGTAGCGATTCTGTAGAAACCTTTTAGGGATAAACTCATACAAACTGGATTTGACAAATTGAACTTGCCTATGGTCAAGACCACAATACTGACTTCAAGTGGCCTGGACAAACTAAATAACATACAAATTGGGGGGAAAAGGCCAAGTACAGACTCTTGAACAGTCTCACGGGGCATATTTGTTGTTTTCAGTGTAGGAAATTTTGCCATTATAACCACATCAGTTTTTTTTTTTTTTTCTTCCCCTGTAGCGATTCTGTAGAAACCTTTTAGGGATGAACTCATACAAACTGGATTTGACAAATTGAACTTGCCTATGGTCAAGACCACAATACTGACTTCAAGTGGCCTGGACAAACTAAATAACATACAAATTGGGGGGAAAAGGCCAAGTACAGACTCTTGAACAGTCTCACGGGGCATATTTGTTGTTTTCAGCAAAAGATTCTGGTTTGTTTTTTTTCTATTTTAGTGTTTACACTGCACCATCATTTCCAAGGACAGATCCCCAGAAAGAACAAAATCCTTCCATATACAGAGTTTCATTGCAAATTTTCATTTAAATACTTCATAATTTCAAGAAGACAAACTATTAAGTACATATATATTGTCGAGTTCAAAATATTTGTGTAAATGTAAGTCTTAGAAGACCCAATGGCTTGCAATTAATACACTGAGTACCAATACACAACAATATAACATCAAAATACTTAACTGAAAGATTATACTAACCAGAAATAGCATCATAGTTCTGCCCTTTAAATCTATGATAATCTTTAAAGACAGGAAGAATATAAAAAACAAACTTATTCTGGATTGGTAGAACTGGGTGGACTTAACTCCCCTTGCCCCTGCAACCCTCTTGTGCTCATGCCATAGTGAAAACAGGGTTGCCTTATGGCTGTGAACAAAACTGGAAACAGGATTGCTTTATGGCTGTGAACAAAACTCTATTGAACAAAACTCTAAGAATAGTAACTTGGGTATGTGCACAAAAAAGAAGAAAAAGGAGCAGCAGAACGCTTCACCCTCACAAGGGTTAGGCAAACTCACACAAACACAATCTCAAATTCTCACAATCTCAAATTCTCATAATATCAACTCTATTGAATCAACGAGATAACACATAAATTTACAGGCTTAAAAACTCCTACTATAAGGACTAAGACTCCAATTTTTAAAAAACTAAGAATATTTGGAACAATAGAAATCTTCTAGATCAACTCTGAGTCAAAATAAAAAATCAAATTACATTACTTAACCAATAGGTGACCCCTACATCCCATGACCAAGAACTTGCAAAATTAAAAAAATACCATAAATTACTAAAACCTAATATAATGACATAAATCTGTCCATCAGCATATTAAACTGAAATAAATACAAATAATGACTCAAAATTATTTCAAAACTTCACTTCATGATATCCTAAACATGCTCAATGTGAAATTCCATATTTATCCTCTTCTTCTTTCCATGCTCATCATCAATTGAAAACTTTTTTTTTCAATTAAAATCCATGCCAAGTGTGTAATGGTCTATTTGTAATTGCATATTCAAGTTGAAAAAACAGAACCACAAAGAGGAGGTTTGTGATAACTTGGTGACTTTAAGGAGGTTATTATTTGTACCCTTAAACATCTAAGCATAAGAAAACCAATTTCAGACTACTTGTGAAGAAAAGCGCTACTTCACTTTAGGTCCTTTCTCTTTCCACCACTCAGCTGTATTCACTGATATATCAAAGTTTAGAAGCATGTGCAAGTATTTTCCAAGTTTTGAAACACTTAAAGACAACCTAATAGATCCTCCTGTGGTATATAGAAAGACAGCAATTACAATTTTTATGCAATGTAATTTATACATTTTGCAAAAGAAATACTATAAACACTATCAAGAACTCCACTCATCACATGAACTTTTGAATTCAATTTTTGAAAGGACTACACAAGACGGAAATAAGAAGACACAAAGCGTACCAAAAATGATGCAAGCTTTGTTGTCCGTCACTCTTAAAGGCAGTCCTAGCAACTGCAGCATAGAACCTGTCCATGCATAGTAATATCAAATGCTATTCACAAAATGAAAAACCCTGAAAAAGCCAATTTAACTTACATCCCCAAAGTCATCACTGCCAAAACACCAGAAACATCAGCTCCCTCTTGAGCCTATCAAATTGAAAGATGGAAAAAATAAAAGAAAATAGAAAACTTTAGCATTTCCATAAAACAAAATTGAAAATGAATAACCAAAGAATTCCAATAATCAGTCAAACCACAGGAACTGCACCTTCTTTATAAAAAGAAACTAAACTTCATATCAATTAAAAATGTTGTTTCGGTTAGCTTCGAAACCGAAACATTTGGAAACGTGGATGAGATGTTAGGAGTTTTTGGAATCACACAAAAGTGTTTGAAACTGAAACTAAAACCCATCTAAATGCAAATGTAACCTGATAATTAAATTATAAAACATGAATGACATCTACTAATCCATTCATGTTTAAGGATGTAAGTGTACAATTTGGAGCCATATGCCAATACGAACCAAAAATCATTAAATTAGAGTCAAAACAAATTATCAAACACAATTGTTTATGATTCTGAATGTGCATAAGCTTCTTGCCAGACAAGGTACGCAAATATATCAGAAATAATATTAAAACTAATAATAACTAATCAAATGACAATGGTGTTGTCAAAGGATTCAATTTTTGAAGGGTTCAAGAGGTTATATACTTTCTTAGCACACACGTTTCAAGAGGTGATGCACTTAAGCTTTCCACAGAAATGTAATTTATTTGTAATTATATTTATCTCAAACACATTTTGTTCCTCAAATTATATAAAGCTAATCGCTTAATTGTCAAAGCTTTTGGAGGGTGGAGGGGATGGCATTGTCTCTTCTTGTTTTTAGGTCTAATCCTGAGATTTCTGTCCCTTATTTGTGTGGTTTTAGTGACTATATACTTGCTGAAGAGACACATCCAACACTCCTCAGTGTGACCTTGTGTCACACATGAAGAAGTAAAAAAACTAAACTGAATGGGTGCAAAAGCACAAACAGAACAGAATGCACAATAGAAAACATAATGGGGATACAAATCACGAGACTTGAATTCAAGACCTCTTGACACCAAATCTTACCACCATATTAAACCACTAATTGTCCCAAGGGCTTGAACTATTAGAAAATGGGTCCAAAATACAAATCAAATTATCCAACATTCTAATTATGCATGAACTGGAAAATAAAAATAAAAAAAATAAAAATACACAGATTTAGTAAAATCAAAAAACTATAATAAATGCAATCTCAATGAAATTAGCACCAGTCAACACGTCAGACAAACATAATCAATACTAACAAAGTACTCCACAACAAACAGCAAAAACAGTGGTCATAGCTTGATATCATCAAGTTTAGATGCAACATCTATCAGAATCTCAAACCTAAATATATGTATATTTCAACCAACAAGCCATCTATTGAAAAAATCTACAGGAACCAACGAGCAAATTGATCAAATCGCAGGCAATACAGAAAAATTATTGATACTTGAGACTCTTGTTGATCAAGTGAAATTATTTATGGTTTCAGTTCAAACTAATCCCATTTGATGCAATCACAATTTATGAGAGATAGCATTTACCAAATTAACAGAAAATGGCAATATGCGAGCTACGTATAGCAGAATTCAGAAATGACAAATTCATGAATTCAAAAAATTTGGATTTCCCAAGCTGGAAAAGGTACATACAGTGAAGTAAGCAATGTAGCTCACGGTAAGTGTCAACGCAATCTCTATCACAGTGTCATTGAAAATAAATCCAAGCCACAAAACAGAGGCTATTCCAAAAGCTAGACCAATGCCTACACTGGAACCAAGGAATGAGTCTTAAAAACCAACTTACATGTGCCACCATTATAAGTTGAGAATAAGAGACACTTACGCTCCAAGAGAAACTTGGGTTAGAAATTTTAGGACAGAGCCCACATTAAAGCTCTGCCCAAGGACCATCCGATAGAATAGTTGATAGACCACTATTGCCGTCCTGAAAACAAAAATCAAGCTCTTTCAAATAAGACCATATATTAAGGATGTAATTAGGATTAATGATATTTTATCTTGTTAAATTGTTGACTACCAACACATCTACAGCTTAAGCTCTTGGAGAGCAAAAATTTAACCATTTATATACTCAACCTCCTCACGTTTAGCCATCCTCTCCTCTATAAGTGCCCAAACACACAAGTATTATAATTATTTGGTAGTTTGTGAGGTTCAAACACCTCCATGAGAAGGCCCAACCTGTGCAAGTAATATAATTTTCTGGTAGGGGGTGAGGTTCAAACACAAGATCAATTGTTTGCTTTAATACCATGTTAAATTATTGACCACCAACTCATCTAAAAGCTTAAGCTATTGGAGAGGGATGATTTAATGATTTACATTCTCAAAATATCCAAGGAAAAGGCTTCTTTAAGCAACTTGCTATTTTTTGTGATCTTCCTCAACCTAGCAACATATCTAAGAGAGTTGGATAACAGACTATAGTACAGAAAAAATGAAAAATTATACCCATCATTCATCAAGGATTCTCCTTCTATTATAGTACTCAGTTTTTTGCTTGCACCAAGTTCTTTCAACAGAGCTACAACAGCCACAGGATCAGTAGCACTAAGAAGTCCCCCAAGCAACAAAGACATTTTCCAACTCCATTGATATGGAAAAGTAAGCTGCAGAATGTTGTTGCAGATATTATTGAAAAACATTAATACTTACCAACAACACAAAAAAAGTTCAGCAAACCTTTAAAGCAGCGCCAAGACAGAAGGTAGAAATGAGAACTCCAGGCCCGGCAAGTAGAATCATTTGTGCCATACATCTCTGCAATCCAAGAAAATTTTAAGAAATTTCTGAGTGAATTGCATAGGGTACATCAATGAAAACAATTCTATACAATTATGAATCTATGATCCCACTTATGCAATATTCACATTTAGCAGTATCAACGAGAAAAATCTGCCAGGTTGTTTAACAACTCCGCAGGTCCCAAACCCGGGTAAAGGAGGAGCGTTGTGTGTTAGGTAGCTGACAGTCAACACGTTAAAAAAGCCACTCTGATCCCTTATGAAAATAAGTCCTACTTTGAATCGATTAAATGCTAGGTCATTCCCCTTAAGTGACGCGTTGCGCCTGTCTCCGGGTGTTTTGAAAAGTGAGCAAGGGGCGCCGCATCGACACCTGGGTGCGGTGAAAAATGGGCAAAGATTTCTGTGTTTTTCTGGATGAGCGCAAATGAAGAATCTAGTCCAAGACCATAGGTTTAGGATAGCCACAAGGAATATAGGAACTTTAACTGGTAAGACTATGGAATTGGTAGATGTCATGATTAGAAGGAGAGTTAGTATAGCTTGCATACAAAAAACTAAGTGAACGGGTGAGAAAACTAGGGAAATAGAGGATACCGGTTTTAAACTATATTATAGTGACAAGGATAGGCACAGGAATGGGGTAGGAATAATAATTGCCAAGGGTCTTGTAATGTAGTTGCAGTCATTAGGAAATGTGATAGGATTATGTTAATTAAACTAGTTATTGGAGAGAATATAGTTAACGTTATTAGTGCATACACCTCCCAAGTAGGATTAGACTAAGAGAGATTTTTGGGACCAAATGGATGAGGTATTACAGGAGATGCACATAAGAGAAAACCCAGTTATAGGTGGAGATTTCAACGGCCATATAAAAATAGATAAATTAGGTTATGAGAGGATGCATGGTGGGTATGATTTTGGTGATGGAATTGAGGTTGTAGAGAGTATTTTAGATTGTGCGTTAGCTTCTGACCTGATGGTGGCCAATATTATGTATAAAAAGAGAGAGGAGCATTTGATAACCTTTAAGAGTGGATTAATTAGGAGCCAAATAGATTACTTTTCAATAAGAAAAGTGGACCATCTAAAATGCAGTGGCTGTAAGGGGATTCCTAGAGAGAGCCTGACATCTCAACATAGGATTTTGGTACTAAATTTATGCTCTAAAGGGCAATACCAGGCTAGGAAGGATAGTGAGCATCATAGGATGAGCTGATGGGACCTAAAAGGGGATAAACTATAAATATTTAAGAATAGAATGGATAAAGAAGGCCCTTGGGACTCGGAAGATAATGCTAACACTATGTGGAACTCGATGACCAATTGTATAAAGAGAATCTCAAGGGAAATCCTTGGAGAGTCACAAGGAAATGGATCCAACTCTAAAGAAATTTGGCGGTGGAAGGAGGAGGTTCAAGCAGTAGTAAAGATGAAAAAAGAGTATTTTAAAAAGTGCCAAAAGGATAAAGCTGAGGAAAACCTTATCAGTTATAGATTGGCTAATAAGGAGGTCAAAAAAGTAGTGAGAAAGGCTAAGTTGAAAGCCTACGATGACCTATACACTAGACTAGATAGTAAGGAGGGAGAGAAGAGAATATACAAACTTGCTAAGATAAGAGAGAGGAAAACAAGAGATTTTAATCAAGTTAAATGCATCAAGAGTGAGGACTATAAGGTGTTGGTGAAAGATGAAGAGATTAAAGAGAGGTGGAAGAACTATTTTGAGAAGTTGTTAAATGAGAACCATGGAGAAAGGTTAAAAGGTAAGTAGCCAGTAATAAGAAAAACCAAGACTACAAGTTCTATCACAGAATTAGGAACTTTGAAGTGGAGATTAAACTTAAGAAGATGAAATCGAATAAGGCTTTTAGGACCCGATGATATTTTGTTAAAATTCACCTACTACACACCTACCACTACCACCTACTACACACTCACCTACTTCACCTACTCTCCACCTACTCCTCACCTACTACACACTCACCTATTCTCTTCCCACATCCTCTCTTCTATATATAGGAATCATTGTAATATATCAAAACAATCAATCAATAATACATCAATTTTAACATATTTCTATTGGAGCTTAGAAATGTTTGTGTAAGAAAGGGGTTGCTTGGTTAACTAGGTTATTTAGCAAAATTTTGTTGACTAGAAAAATGTCGAAGGAGTGGAGGAAGAGTATTTTAGTGCCAATCTATAAGAATAAAAGAGATGTGCAAAATTGCAACAACTATAGACGAATCAAGCTGATGTGTCATATAATGGAAGTGTGGGAGAGTGATGGAACTGATGGAATGTCGATTGTGAGATATAACAGAGATGTCAGAGAATCAATTTGGATTTATACCTGGTAGATTAACAATGGAAGCAATCTATCTTTTGAGGATAGTAACAGAAAAATATAGAGAAAATAGCAGAGACATTCATATGATTTTTATTAATCTTGAAAAAGCATATGATAGAGTGTCTCGGGATATAATCTGGTGGGTATTAGAGAAGAAACGGGCAAAAGGTTACACTAATATGATTAGGGATATGATATTACTTCATATTGGTATAATACTTTTGTAGATCCCCTACGTTTAAAGTGTGTTTGAGAGTTTCAATTTTGGTTGCGGTGTCTTTTATAATAGAAGGCAAGAAAGCATTAAATCATTGAGAGTGGGCTTGGTAAGTGTTTGGGGGTATTGAAGTAATGTCTCAATGAAGAGGCGGTTATTGAGAGTTCAAAGATTAGGTGATTGTGATAAAAATAAATCTTATTATTCTTTTTATCTAGGCAAATTTCAGGGACAATATCCGACACCCCCACGGCTTCCATTTTGGCGTGTCCATGCTTCATAGGGTGGGGACCACCTTAAGTCTATTTAAATTATTTTATACTTTAATTTCAATTAGAGATTTATTTTAAATTATTAAATTTCATTCATTTTGGACTCAATTTATTCTTTTTATCTAGGCAAATTTCAGGGACAAAATTCCTTAAAGGTCGAAGATTGTAACGAGTTGAATCAAATTGAATTCTTCCCTTATTATTATTATAGTTGTGGTATCGTGGACCATTCTATTTAAATTGGTGAAAGCAATTTATATTACTTTTCGATTTCGACTTCGTGAGGCCCACTCAGTATTTTTTTGAGTTTTAATTATTATTGAGTCTTGAGTATTAAATGGAATATAAATTTAATTTTTGGGATTTATTTAATTAGCCCATACTTAATAATTTTGGTTCATATTTAATTATGTGAATGGTGGGGACTATGAAGCACGGACACGGGCATGGACACGGACACGGACACGGGACACGGCAATTTCTAAAAAATGGGGATACGGACACGGACACAGCAGGGGACACGGCAAATTTTTTAATTTTTTTATAAATATTTTTATTTTAATACATATTAATTATTTTATTTATTTATTATATTTTTTTAAATAATGTGTTCTAATTAATGTTTTTATTTTATTTTACATACATGTGTTTATTTTTTATTTATTTGTTATTATCTAATAATTATATATATTATATATGAATATATAACAATAATAATAGTTATAATATATAATAATAATAGTTATTATATAATATATATATATATATATGAATATATAATAATAATAGTTATTATATAATAGTCATATATATTATATACGATGAATCAAGACAAGAAGATAAAGACGGGAGAGAACCGAGAGAGAGGGAGACAGAAGCACGACAGAAGCGAGAGAGAGGGAGACGATCGCGAGGGAGAGAGAGGATTGCGATCGCAAGGGAGAGAAAAAAGGCGAGAAAGAGAGAGCTCTGAGAAGGCAAAGGCGAGAGAGAGAGCTTGTCGAAGTCGAATGGGGCTCTGGATCGTCGCTGACCAGGTTTGTACTCGTTTTCCCTTTCATTTACTCTTCTTGTTGTGTCCATGGCGTGTCCAGATTTGGACACGCATGTCCCCGCAGTGTCTCTGCCGTATCCCCTGCAAAAAAATAAATTAAATTAAGGGGACACGCCAGATGCCGTGTCCCGTACGTGTCTCCGGCATGTCCCCATATCCGACACCCCCACGGCTTCCATTTTGGCGTGTCCATGCTTCATAGGGTGGGGACCACCTTAAGTCTATTTAAATTATTTTATACTTTAATTTCAATTAGAGATTTATTTTAAATTATTAAATTTCATTCATTTTGGACTCAATTGATTGAATTACGACTCATTTATAACCATCTAGTATTGTTGTTATTATCATTGTTATTATTATTATTGATTTTATGGCCATGAGAGAGTTACAAATATTTATGATGTGCACCATCAAACGAAATATATTTTGTGGTGAGAAAATATTATGTCATTGTGTCATTTATGGTACAAAATATTATGATGGTGCTAAAATATACTTTTAATTGGTATGTGTATATGTAATACTTGTATAAAAAATAAAAAAATTAGAAATTAATTTTAAAGGAAGGACACACCCACGTCGGGCGGCCCCCCTTTCCCCATTTCTCTTCCTTTACTCTTTCCTCTTTTCCTTTGTCTCTTCTTGCAGAGAACACATCTCTTTCCCTCATTTTCCTTTGCTTTCTCTGTCTCTCTCTCACAGCTCTCCTTCGTTTCTCTTTCTATCAAACCAAAAAATTCTTGCATTTCATTTAATCCACACAAATTCATTAATTTTTTGGCCATAGTTCTTAAGGCTATTTTGACAAGCATCTCAAGGGGAATGTTTTGACCGGTGGAGATAGAAATTCGACAACATCAAAAATTGGGAGTTTTTCTTGTTTCCTCTTCTAGCTTTTGAGATAGGGATTTTCTTTGAGTTATATATAATTTTTTATAAGTTTATGGTTATTTTGATGTTGTTTGGAGTGTGTTGAGTTAGGGTTTGATTTTATGTGATTGTGTTTTGCTCAAAGAGGGGTTTTCTCAAATCTTTCTCCAAATCTTTTAATTTATGAACTATAAGAATGTTTTGGGAGTTTCATGAGTTTAAAATAATTAAATAAAAAATAAAAAATAAAAAACCCTTTTAAAAGTGAGGAAATCCTAATTTTGTGAAAACCCTAGGCTTGAGGAAGTTGAAAAAAAAGTTGTGTCGATGAAAAATGAGTTGTGTGATAGTTAGGGTTTCTAATTGCATAAAATCTTTCAAAAATAGAAACTCTATTTTTCTTTTGTGAAAACCTAGATTTTGAAAATTTGGAGAAAAGTTAGGATTTTGTGAAATCCCTTGTAAGAAAGAAATTGATATTGAGAAAATGGTGAATAGTATGTTGTACCTATCTTGAAAGGATGAAGATCGGAAATGATGATTTTCTTGTTGAGATTTCTTTGATTTAAAAAGAAAGAAATGTATTCAATGATGTGTTTTTATCTATCTCTTGGAATATATACTGTATATATATATATATGTATATTGAGTAAAGATGTGGGACTTGAACACAATAGAAGATTGTGTGGATGAAATGAGAAAGTGTTGAGAAAATTTGAAAAAGTTCAAGACATTAATATAGATTTATATTTCATTGGCATTTCATTTCATGTTCATTGTTTTCTTTTAAACTGGCATTGTTGAGATCACTTTTGAAACGGAAATGATTTTGTGGAACAAATGTTGTTACTAAACCGTTTTGGGGTAAATATAGTGGGAAATGCGGCTAGGAGGTGTAGTTGGAGAATTAAATTAGCCTGAGTGTCCTTGGTGTAAGACAAGAAATACGCACATGCGGGTGTCTAAGCCCTCCAATTAGAAACTGGTAAGGTAGGATTTTGTAGTGCTTGAGACGCCTACTAGCCCTGGAGATTTGTCTGAGTCATATTAACCATCCCTTGTTGATATATGAAAATCATTGGTTTGATTATATTTTTGAACGAACATCGTGCATGAGATCTTCAAAAGAGAAAAATTATTTTGAGCATGGCATGTCATGTGCATCTATCTCATGAGACTGTATAAAATGTATATACTTTGTTAAATGCTCACCCCTAGTGGATTTGTTGTAGGAAAAGCTGTGGTGATCCCGCCAAAGTAGAGGCGTGGAAAATTGTTTTGGGAGCACGAGGCTCTTATCTCTAATTGTTTTATCTCGATAAACCAAGAGCTATATTTGTATGGGTTAGAGAACCATTTACCTATAACTGAGCTTAAGCCTCGGAATATGTAATCCATAGGGGCATTATTTTGTGTTTTAATTTCTATTGAATTCTTGTTACATGCTGTCAAATATTGTCTTAGAATTTATGAAAGCATAAGGGCATGTGGAACCCTTACATCTCTTGAATAAATGTCATGAATATACATGTATGATGAGATTGAATGGAAATTATATGATTATTTAATGGTAAAAGATTCATAATTAATGAGGATCGAGAATTATTGATGAGTTAATCTGCGTTATCATATGTTAACGATTTGGGGAACACCATGTATGAAGCTTAACAAAATCATATGATGAATGCATATACAAAATCATATGATGAATGCATATACATAACATTTACCAAAACGTTACACTTCTTCTTTCAAAACAATGCAATGCCATAGTTATATATCAATTTATAAAAAAATACTTTTTACATCAGAAAAAAAGACAGTGGATACATAACACTCGGCATTAGCTAACCCTATATGGAAAACAACTTTCAGGTACTGATGATATGCCTCCACCAAGGAAGTAGCTTGGAAGGACCTTGGAGACGAGAGCTTCTTTTTGGTCTTTTGTATAAATATTTATTTTACAAGCCTTAAGCTTTATATGTATTGAGTCTAACTCATTTTGTTGTACCCAAGTATCGACTTGAAAAGATGTAGCCATTAAGATTTAAACTTATTCATACTTTCTTTTGTTTGATGCGATTACCACATGTCATATGCTATAAATTCAGAATCTAAGATTTATGAATGTATACATGCATACATCATCTTTTATACTGCAAAAGAGAATCAATGAAAGGTAAATATTGAATAAACTTCTGTTTTTTCATTGAATATTATGAGGTGGTTTGCTGATATTATTTTGGGGTGTTACAACTATTAGATCACCTGCTGGAGAGACAAGTGAATTTCTAATTACTGTGGGGTTACACCAAGGATCAACCTTAAGTCCTTATCTTTTTGCTTTAGTTATGGATGAGTTGACAAGAAATATTCAAGATGATGTGCCATGGTATATGCATTTTGCAAATGATATTATATTAGTAGATGAGACTAGAGAAGGAGTTAACACTAAATTGGAAACTTGGAGAGAAACACTTGAATCTAAAGGATTTAGGATAAGTAGAACTAAGCCAGAGTACATGAAATGTAATTTTAGTAACAGTAACCATGGAAGCAGAGAGGAAGTGAAGATTGAGAACCAAGAACTACCTAAGAGTGACCATTTTCATTATTTAGGATCGATTATCACAATGGCTGGAGAGATTGGAGCAGATGTGATCTATAGAATTAAGGCAGAGTGACTTAAGTGAAGGAATGCGCCTAAGATACTATGTGATAAACGAGTGCCCACTAGACTAAAATGAAAGTTCCATAGAATGGCTATAGACCAGCGATATTATATGGGACGAAATGTTGGGTAACTAAGAAACAACATGTAGATAAGATGAGTGTTGCTGAGATGAAGATGCTAAGGTAGATGTGTGGCAAGACTATAAAAGACAAAATTAGGAATGAGTATATTCGTGAATGGGTAGGAGTAGTACCGATAAAAGATAAATTGAGAGAAAATAGATTGAGATGGTTTGTTCATATACAACGGAGACCAACGGAGGCAATAGTGAAGTGATGCAATATAGTGACAGTAGATGGAAGTATCAGGGGAAGGGGTATACCTAGACTAACGTGTGCTAGTGTAGTAAATAGAGATATAAATCTCCTTAATTTAACTAACCGAATGACCATTGATAAAGTCGAGTGGAGAAGAAGTATTCATGTAGCCGACCCCATTTTATGAGACTTAAGATTTGGTTTGGTTTGGTTTAGCAGTGTCAATGGGAAAGTCACAAAGATTCCCATGAATATTGCTGTAAAATATGTCAATTATGATCCCAACTTTCTTGGTGGTAAGAAACTAACTATTTTTATACATGATATGGGTTTCACGATACCATGTATACAGTAATGTTGGTGGTGGGTTGGTAGGTAGACGAGATGCTAGCGACAATAGTGGTTGTTGATTTGTAGAGAGAAAAGGGAGTCTTTGTCACAACACACACACAGACAGACTGGTGGCTACTTGACTGTTGGTGGAGGGTCACGGGGTAGAGAGAGAGAGTGAAAGAATCAAGTTGAGAGAGAAGGAAGGATATAGAGAGAAAGTCAAGACGGGTTGAGAGGGAATGATTTTAATGAGGGTAAAATTTGTAATTTAAAATTTTTAATTGTTGACATCGGACCAATACATTAGGTCAACTAACAGTTGACTAAACCTTTAGAGGGGCAAAATAGAGCTTTAGAGGGGAATGTAAATTCTAGGACCTCAGTCACAAACCTCAGTGGTTAGTATAAGTTACCCCATACTTGTTACACTCCCCTTCAAATTGGTGCATAGATGTCTATCCAACTTTTCCTAAATAAAATGATGATCAATCACAACATGCTTTTTCATCTCATGTTATGTTAAACCTCTTCGCTCTTGAAAATTGAGATTATACACTAAGAAATGGTTTCCAACACTAGCAAGACTCCATTAGAAAGTCCTTGGGGTAGAGGAGGAATAGATGGGTGAATGAATTGAGAAGAAATGAACTACCAGGACAAGATTGTGAAGGTTAAATGCTGCTTGCGATGCACAAATTACAACACAACAAGAAGTCAAGCACACAACAAGCAGATGCCTTACAAATAAAGGGAACTGTCTGACCAAAAGAGTATTACTTTATCAAAATAATATCTTTTTAAAAAAGATAATAGATAATAGTAAAAATTTGCCAACAGAAATATTAATAAATAAATAAATAACAGGAAAATAGGTCAATAGAAAAATGTTATTGCAACCTTTTGTAGAATAAACGTAAGAATAAGGAAAGGAAACACACATCTGAAACATCAGGACGAAATATAATTGATGTATCTATCATTTTTATGTCATAAGTTTGAATGCTTGTGCTATGTTGCATTTCAAAATTTCTTTTATTTCAACATATAGTAAATGATCTTTTACACTATGTGGGTGTTTGGGAAGTTGCTATTTTAGTTTTTGACTATTTTAGTAGGCTAAAATTTTTGTGTTTGGAAAGATAGTTGGATTTTTTTGTAGTTGAATGTGATGTTTGTGAGAGAAAAAACGAAATGATTATGAGTTTAATGTGATATTTTGTTTTATTGGCTATTTTAGCCTATTTTGTCTTTTTATGAATTTTAGCCCAAAAAGCCAAAACATAGCCTTTGCCACCTTTGCCAAACACCCCCTATGTAGTTTCTAGGCACTAAAGCAACAAAGAAAGATACAATTGCTAAACAAAGGCACATAATTTATATATTACATAATAGGGAAACGGGAGAGAGCTAAGAAGAAATAATTCATCCATGTAAAGCAACAAATAAAGGTACAATTACTACACCAAGGCACATAATTTATGCGTAACAAAAAAGAGAGGGGAGAGAGATAGAGAGGAAATAATTCATCTAGCCACTCGTACTCAAATGCAACTGCTGAAGTTGAAAAAGTAGATAAAGGAACCTTTATTTGGTGCACTTCCATCGCAAATGAACTCTCAAAAAGAAGCGCAGGAAGAAAAATAGCCAATAGAAGATTAGGATCAATATTTGCCCCTGCACATGGACACCATCAAACCCCTTTAAATAGTTGACACTTTAACAGTAAAGAAGCCCTTCATAATTGAAAGCTATATTAGAAGGAAAAAGTAAACAAACTCAATCCTTCGCATATCCCCACACCACAATATACTTAAGTAAAATGCAGGTTGAACTCACAAAGACGAATGCCATCCCCAATCCTTCCCAGCTGATGATGTGTTCCGTATTCTGCAGATTGAGTTATCATTAAGATTTTGAAATAAACCATGATGTATTAATGGCAGATCGGCATTAAATTCAACTGCCTGAAAATTTAAATGACTAACAGATAACTTGATTACCTAATAAATTTTAGAAAGAACCATGAAAAAGGGTTGCATTTTCCCTCAAGGAAAATTTGGGGCGGGGGGGGGAGAGGAAAAGAATAGCACACAGGCAAAGGTGTTTGAATCCTCTCACCCACAAAACATTTCACCAAGACAACATGGTCACTGTGGCATAACAAACCATTTGGCTGATGTGTGAAGTTAAAAGGAAAAATCATCTGTAAGCCTTCACAGCCAACGATTGTACACATCAAAGAGTCAGGTCAAGTTTGGTGCATATGGCAAGGTTTATGAATCTAACTCATTTGAAAAGTTGCATGTATTGAGTACCTAATGTCTTTATGGGAAGAAAGTTTGTGCATATCATTAAAGCATATAATTTTCTACGGAAGTTGAATGTTCTATCAGTATGTTAAAGATGCTGAGTTCATAGGAAAGATGACTAGTTCATTACTGGTGCAGCTTGATGCCAATTGAGAAGATTGGGAAAAATAGGTCAATCCTAAATCACTCTAGAAGTAGAACACGCTGTTAGCATTGTGAAAGAGAAAAATTGCATGTTGTGTAATGAAGTCGAGGCCTTGATACACACATACAATGCTTAACTGCCCAAAAAGAAACATTGTTATGATTTAGTGTGGCTAAATGCTATCAAATTTAAAGCCCCTACTTTGCCACTGACTCATGGTTGGTCACACACCAAGAGCTTGTCTAATAAAAAGGCAAAGAGCTACATGGTAGACAAACCGAAGAATGAAGAAGAGCTATGCAATGGACAAATGTGGGGAGCAGCAAATCAGCTTAACATGCACAACACAAATAATGCCGTGGCAACAAATAGTGAGATAGATGAGACTACTAATATAACTTAGCATCAGTAAGTAGATCATCGCTGCCCTTTGCATGAAGCGCTATGGGAAGAAGAAGTATGAGTGTCTATCAAAGGAGCTCAAGAAATTGGATAGCAGTATATTTCTGCTCAGAAAGTAGATATGAAGGCACAGGGAATAACCTCAAGAACAAATAAACAAAAAAGCTTTTCGACAGACAACATTTTAGAAGGATCATACCCCATATATTTGAACATTATTTATTATCGAGAAGTCTTGACCAAAAAAATAAATAAATGAAAAAGCCCTTTACTAATTATTGCTAATTAAGGAATCCAGTAATTCTATATAATTATTGATTTTTTTTAACAAATTTGCCTAATATCCCTTCCACCCCTGCCATGCATGTTAAAATGATCAAATTAAATATGTTAGATATCGATTCTTTATTCTTAAAAAAATATCTTTTGATACTTAATAATCTAAGGGATGTGATTGAGACCCCCTCCAATCACCACCCCCATCACCCCCCACACACACGTGGCGGGTGGTGATTGGAGGAGAAGGAAAAAACAAAAAACAAAAAACAAAAACTGGCCAATCAGAAAGAGAGGGGGTCAAGGGGGTGCGGGGAGAAAAGGGGTCCGGATCATTTTTCATAATCTAATTCGATTGTCCTATAAAAATAAAATAAAATAGAATAAATGGAAACACTGATCTACCTAAAAATTTTTCAAAAATTCCTAATTAAAAAACTTGCTATTAAACTTTACACAAACCACAAAACTAAGTTACACGATAAATTTTGAGGTCAATTATTAACAAAGAAATTACCTTAACCTTGTGCAGAACAAACTATTGGAGGAGACTAAATTAATCATATTCTTTTGTATAGTATAAAGGCCCAGGGGGTTCTTGCAAATAATTATTACCAATAAAGGGCGCCCAATCTGTAGAGGTATTGATTTCAAGTTAATCTATCTCAATTCACTAATAAATAAGGTGGATTTCTGTTAAAATTTGATGACAATAGTTGGGTTTTTTAAAATAAATCGAAGAGTTCTATAGATAATAATGGATTAATAAGGACATGTGCATATTTCAAAATTTTAGCATAACTTAGCAAGACTTTATTTTAAGAAGGTTTGGTATTGTATTTTGATAAATATAAATGTAAATTCAAAATTAGAATTATTATTTAATTTAACTTAAGTATCAAACTAAATTAGTTTAAGCATTATTCCATTAAAAGTAACATAGCTTACAACATTATTACATTAAAAGTGCAGATGAAAATGATCATATCATAAATGTTTGAAGTAAAAGTTAATAACTAAAAGTATAATTAAGTATTTCATTTTAGCGTAATGTTGTTATGACTAGATTTTCCTACACATGAAATAATAATTCATATAAATACTGGCACACAAACGCAAACACAAACACAAACACAAACAAGAACAAATGTGTGATGATTTAACTAATATTTATGTAAATCTTATTTTGCTTTACCCCATACAAAAAGAAAAAATTTATTTTGTTCCAATTTTCATTTAAAAACGCCAACAAACTGACTTTTTGAAGTAATAGCAATCGTTAAATTGTTCATAGAGAAAAGTCAACATAGAAAGCAATAATTTTAAAAATTACATTTTTAGTCCCTGAAATATGGGGTTTGTGTCTTTGTGCTTAAAATTGTGTCAATTTGATTACAAATGAAACACTCTTTATACTTCTCATAAATATATACTTCAAATTTAAGAATATTTTGCAAACTAATTTTTATAAAGGGTAATGCTATGAGGTGTGTACCATATGCAAGTTATGCCAGAGTCATAACTAACACTCCATCCAAAAGAAAAGAAATGGTAAGAATAGGAAATCCTTTACTTATTTAGATGGTTAAATAAGTGAGAAATGATGAGAAATAGTGAGAAATGGTGAGAAAAGTACTTGTCACCAAAGTTTTGTTTTGCTTCTCGCCAAAAGTGTTGAGAAATGAAATGGGTTTAATAAAATTTTTCTAAAATACCAAAATTATCCTATGGTGGAAGCAATAAAATACTTTCTTCTTTTTTTTTCCTCTTATTTACTCTATCAAACAGATAGGTGAAAAATCACATTTGTTTTTTCTATTTATCCAATAAATTTTTTCTAAAATACCAAAATTATCCTACGGTGGAAGCAATAAAATACTTTCTTCTTTTTTTTTCCTCTTATTTACTCTATCAAACAAGATAGGTGAAAAATCACATTTGTTTTTTCTATTTATCCAATAAAATTTTTCTAAAATACCAAAATTATCCTATGGTGGAAGCAATAAAATACTTTCTTTCTTTTTTTTTCCTCTTATTTACTCTTCCAAACAAGATAGGTGAAAAATCACATTTGTTTTTTCTATTTATCCAAACACAATTGTGAGAAATCATAATCATTTCTTTTCTCACCCAGCATTTCTTTTCTTTTCTTTTCTTTTCTTTTCTTTTCTTTTCTCACTCCATAATCCAAACTTGCGTGTAAAACTAAACAAAAATAATATCATAACTAATATCACATCATAACTAACAGTTATCCCTTGACACAAAAGGATATAGAATTTCCCATTTATAAAATGTATTTAAAAAATAAATAAAAAGAAAAAAGAAAGAAAGAAACCAATCTTCATATTATATAGTAATTAATTATATAAAAATGCAATTCTTAATAATATAGAAGTGTAAAAAATATATAAGAAATTAAAAAAATCTTCATATACATTTTTGAATAGGGAGAATGAAAATCTATCGACAAGAACTCAATTTCTTATTGAAATTAACACTATATATATGGAACAGTTGGAATTGAACAGTAATTTCTTAGTAGTTCTTAAAAAACCAGAATCAAACAACCACCGTACTTTTTTCTGATCCATTTACAGACTGACTGGTTTTTTCTTTCAAATTATTAAAAAAAAAATTGAAACGGTGAGACAGACGAACCTAAAGATCCGAGGGCGATCCCAAGGATGAGCAAAGCGACGGTGTAAGGGACTCTGGTTCCTCTGAGGAGATGTCTGGATGCAATTCCCATCACCATGCTTATCCCGAAGAATATCACTCCGTCCGTCGGATTCCATGACGAATCCGAATCTGAAGCCGAATTCAATTTCACCGGAAACGCCCCTTCCTCCATCGAACCCATTTCCAATTCCACTACCACCAATTCAACCTCACTTCAACCTGTAAGTATGTAGCATGTACCCAACAAATACACTACCACACTCTATATATATAGAGAGAGAGAGTTGCGTAAAAACACTAGGAATTCCTTGTTACAATAAAGTAGTATCACCGTTGCCATGCACGGATAATTATAAATATTTACTCTCTCCGTCCCAAAATAATGGTCCCTTTTGGGGAATTCAACTTTTTTTAGTAGTACAATTATTGTATTTTTAAAAATTTGATTTTCTAAAATTACCCTTTGATAGTACACTTTTTTGGGAATATCAATGTCATAATTGTACTTTTTATATTATTTATGAATTTAAAAGAAGGGCAAAATGAGAAATTTATATTATTTTTGTACTTGATTTTTAAAGAGGGACTAATATTTTGGGACAATGAAAAATGGAATAAGGGACTAATATTATGGGACGGAGGGAGTATATTTATTTTAGATTTTTTTAATATATAAATTATATTTTTTAAATTTTTTTATAATAATAATTTAATAATTTTATCACTAATCATAATGTATTGGAAAAATTAATATTTATATTTATTTTAAATTTTTTTAGTATATAAATTATATTTTTTAAGATTTTTTATAATAATAATTAAATAATTTTATCACTAATCATAATGTATTGGAGAAATTAAAAAGAATACTGCAGTAACTATGCACAGGTTGTATTTATAATTATCTGTATGAGGGGATTTTAAATGTTGATTAGATAATTTTGACCAAATCAATAAATTCAGGCATGTGAAAAGACATGTGGATTGAAAAAAAGTAATAAATGCTGATCATGTAATATATATGTGAATTGTGATTTTTAAATGTCTTTCTTTTTAAATATCTTCTTTTTCTTTTTTTATATTATATTAAAGTTCAATATAATAATCATATGTGTTGAAATTTTTAATGAATTAAATGTCTTGTTTTTTTATATTATATTAAAATTTAATATTTTGATAATAATCATATGTGTTATACTTTTTAAGAAATATTTTTTATACCTGTTCTTAATGTATTAAAGTATTATTACGAGGAATAATACTCATATGTGTTGGGACTTTTCAAGTAATTCATATGTGTTGGACTTTTCAAGAAATTTTTTTTATACTTATTCTTAATGTATTAAAGTGTTATTATAAGGGTAAGGTTTGGGGGTTGTGAGAAATTAATAAAAGGTTTTTTTTTAAATCAAAAAATCAAGAAATTTAGATTGGGATATTGAAACTCTCACAAAACTTGTGGGTTAGAGATAGATATAAATAAATAGATAGATATAAATATAAATATTTATATTTGTTTTAAATTTTTTTTAATATACATATTATTTGTTTTGAAAAAATTACTGTAGTAATTATGAGAGAAATCAAAAAGTCTTATGGATTGAGAGAAGTTAATAAATGCTGAGATTAATTTTTTTTTTTTAAATTAAAAAATTAAGATTGATATATTGAAGTTTTCACAAGTCTTGGCTTAAAAATTATTTTTGCTTAATATATAATAGATGTTTGGGGCAATAAATAATGTTTGGGGCTCTAATTTGACCGAGCTCTAATGATGTGGAGAGTAGTGTGTATGTGACATGGGATCATACATATGTGACATGAGATCATGCATATACCCTTTCTCTTCTCTTCCCGTGAGAGTTCTATTTCATTTTGTGTGGTCACTTTTCCAAAAATACTTTTTAAAGAATTTTATTTTCTTATTTTTTTGTTTTTATTAAATTTTTTAATATTTTAAGTAATTTTTTTTTATTTTTAGACATATTTAAATTTTTTTTAATTAAATTTTTTAATATTTTAAGTAATTTTTTAATTTTTAGACATATTTAATATAAATATACCTAAAAATTAAAAAAATTGTGAAAAAATCTTTTAAAAATTCACTAAATACTAAAAATACAAAAAAAAAATGAAAATTCAGTACATTTTTTTATATTTTTATGTATTTATTAATTTTTTTAAATATTTTTTCACAAATTTTTTACTTTTTTAAATACATCTAAGTAAGGTACATCTAAAAAAATAAAAAAAAATGTTTAAAATGTTAAAAATATTCATTAAAATTTTGAAATGTTAAAAAATGTTTAGAATTACTATTTTAGAATTATGTTTCACAACTCTTCTTTGTTATTTTAATTTTGGTTGGTGATTGAGTGTGAGTATAAAATTGTGGTTTTAATTTTCTAAATTTAATTTTTTAAAAATTAAATTTTTTTATATTTTATTTTTAGTGAATATTTTTAATAATTTTTTTTTATTTGTTTAGATATACCTTATTTAGATGTATCTAAAAAGTAAAATATTTGTAAAAAAATATTTTTAAAATTAATAAATACACAAAAAAATTAAAAAAATGTACTGAATTTTTTTATTTTTTATATTTTTGGTATTTAGATTTACAAATATTATATTTTTTAAGTATATTTATGTTAGGCGTGTCTAAAAATTAAAAATTACTTAAAATGTTAAAAAAATTCAGTGGAAACAAAAAAAATATGAAAAATAAAAAACTAAAAATTTTAAAGCTAAGCCATGATGGCAATATGAATGTGGAATGATGAGACATGTTTTGTGCTATGTAAGTTTGTGATTGTAGGTTGAGATTTGGAGACCAATCAACTATTTCTGGAAGCCCACTGTGAGTAATGTTGATTTGATTCATTTCCCTTTTGTTTTGGCCTGTTTAGGTCTAGAAAAAGGAGAAAATAAAAAAAGTTTTTTTATTTTTTTAAAAATGATAGATTATATTGGTAATTCTTGTTTTCTTCGGTTTCAGAAAATTAAGTACACTTTTCATAAAATTGTATTTTTTATTTTTAATCAAAAAATTTAATATTTTAATAATTTTTCAATTTTTAGATATACCTAACCTAAATATTCTTAAAAAATATAATATTTATGAAAAAATCTTTACAAAATTCATCAAATACAAAAAATATATATATTTAGTACATTTTTGTATTCTTATAAATTTTATAAATTTTTTCAATATTTTTTCACAAATATTTTATTTTTTAGGTGCATCTACATTATATGCATTTAGAAAGTAAAAAAATTACTTAAAATTTTATTCACTAAAAAAAAAAAAACGAAAAAATAAAAAATTTAATTTTTAAAAAATCAATCAAAACCAAACAAAGTGTATATTGTCAGTGATAGTATTTTAGTATTTGTAATTTTAATTTACTCAATTTTGACTCTTAATTTTAAATTTTATATTAATTTTTTTTCAATTGATAATATCGTTAAGGATTTTAATAAAAAAATTCACTAAATTGATTGAAGTTAAGTTATTGAATTGCTCAATTTTACAATTTTACTTTTAAAAGCGTGACACATGTTATTCATCTACGCATTTATCATAAAAAACTGATAACAATTAAAATGAATTGAACTAATTTGGCACAAAATTAAAAATTCAATATCAAAATCTATTCAATTAAAATTATAAGGACAAAAAAAAAAACATAAGGATCAAAATATAATAACTAACAATGTAATGCCCAAAAATAAATACAACAAACTTATCCCATAAGCGGAAATATAATTGAATTAACATGCCTTCATTCATCAGAGTTTCTATACATGAGATATAGATACAAGAAGGAATGAAGGTTACATAGATAACCATTTACCTTAATGGCTTACATCTTTCAAAGTCACTGCTCAGTTACAACAAAAATGAGGGGCTTTTCTCAAATTAAGCCAAATTAGCAACTTAATTCTCAAACTATGCCTAGTTTGGACAGAATTCCCAAACTAGGCTAAAGCGCTATTACAAACCACGCTTTCACTATTTCTAGGACCCTCCCGCGGAAAATTTGTGAAATAGTAAAAGCGTGGTTACAAATCACGCTTTTAATTAAGAAAGCGTAATTACAAACCACGCTTTTAAGAATTATTATTTTTTTCTTCATAAAACGTGGTTTTAAACCACGCTTTAGAAATTTTTTTGAGAAAACGTGGTTTAGAACCACGCTTTCAACACACATTCCACTCTCTCTCTCTCTCTCTCTCTCTCTCTGTGACACACAAACACTCATCACACACGCGCGCACACACACACCCCCAAACCAATATAATTTTTAATATATATAAATTTTATTTTATAAAATTAAGACCACTATTAAATATATATAATAATAATTTATAATAGCAAATAATAATCAACTATATGAAATTAAGACCAATATTTTCAAATAATTTTATTTTCAATTAATTTTTTTTCTATTAATTTTTTTTAATTAGTCTTTTACTTCAATTAATTTTTTTTCAAATATTTTTTTTCCCAATTAAAATTTTTTCAAATAATTTTTTTTTCAACTATTTTTTTCAATTAATTTTTTTTTAAATTAATTTTTTTTCAATTATAATATGTGTCATCCCATTGTCATAAATAATAAAAATAAATATAAATATTTTAGGCCTGAACAAACATATTTTTTATTTTATGTTTTTAAATTTTTTTAAATATTTTGTTCAAACCAAACGCGTTTGTAATTTATGTTTTTCTAAAAATAAACAAAAACCACTAAGGTAGCGTTTGGTTTTGGTTTGAAAAACGTTACCAAACGGAATCTTATATATCTATAAATTTTATAAAATTTAATCCCTAAACACTAAGGTAGCGTTTGGTAACGTTTACATTTTTTGTTTATGTTTATAAAAATTTTATAAACTGATTTTTGTTTATTTTTGGAAAAACATAAATTACAAACGCGTTTGGTTTGAACAAAATGTTTAAAAAAATTTAAAAACATAAAATAAAAAATATGTTTGTTCAGGCCTAAAATATTTATATTTATTTTTATTATTTATGACAATGGGATGACACATATTATAATTGAAAAAATAATAATTAAAAAAATAATTGAAAAAAAAAATATTTGAAAACAAATTTAATTGGGAAAAAAATATTTGAAAAAAATTTAATTGAAATAAAAGATTAATTAAAAAAAATTAATAGAAAAAAAATAATTGAAAAAAAAAATTATTTGAAAATATCGGTCTTAATTTCATATAGTTGATTATTTTTTTCTATTATAAATTATTATTATATATATTTAATATTGGTCTTAATTTTATAAAATAAAATTT